AACAACATTTAGACAGTGGAATAAATCAGAGGGTTCGCACGTGGACATGAGTACATGCATGTACATATACACATGTATGTGTGCATAGCTGTTATGAATGTCTTCTCTTTCATAATGAAAATAATACTACTGTTCTTATTACACGCTTAAAGCATAAAGTGCAGCATGAGTGTACGGTTAAAATGTGACTCTGAGCCGTAAGACTACAAAAGCAGCGTGCACATGCCGGGTGGAGTGCTCCGTAACGAGCTGATCCAAGCGGCCAAATATGGCTCCAGGCTTCAGGAGAGGCCGTGTTTTCTTTTTGTAACAGATATTTAATAAAAGGGAAAACGAATAAATGTGACCAAAACCACAAGTGGAAAACTCATTATTGGAATAGTTTGATTAGCAGTCTGCATCCATAAATACACCGCTAACACCTCGTTTGTGCTAATAAGCGTAGCCGCGGTAAGTAGATCATACTGGAAATAAACTACAGAAACAGCAGCAACGTCTGAAACTGCTAATGATTTAGAAATGTAAAAGGTTTAATTTGTGAAATTAACAACTTGTTAACGTGACATGACCATGGTTGGTTATAAACCACCCTGGTTACTAATCAGTCTGTGATTACAGTACTGTACCCACGTATCAGCACAGAGCCTCCTAAAGCCTGCTGATCAGTCTCAGGTGGACGTGCTAGCTGCTGCTGACAGTTTAATTTCCCAGAGAAGCACCGTGTGAGGACTCCACTGAATGATGTAATCCTAATGACACACTCAACAGTAATGTCATGCTGTCACAAAGCCCGCTCTTCATGACCTGTGCAGCGACGCCGGATGCATTCACCGAAGCAGGAATGAATCAGATCGACTGGAAAATTTAAGAAAATCAGGAATATTAGTTTATCTTAGCACGCACTGCACATCCAGCCATCACATGCAGTTACACAGCGCTGTGTCGTTAGCTAGAGGTAAGGTTGGTGATTGCAGTGTGTTGCGTTCACATCTGCAGGAACGGTGAGGATATTTGGAGCCATTATGTATGAATGCAGCATCAGAGACACTGTGAAATATTGACGAACTGTCAGCTGAGCCCCTCATAAATCTATGCAGGTCATCAGGTTTTCCCAGCAGCATTGTATCAGATTGCATCAGAAAGGCAGGATAGAGAAGAACATAAAAACCTAATATCGCATTCAGTCTGACCTGAATGTCGTGTGTGTG